TAAGATTCTCAACATTACGGGAATTCTCTGGTGGTCCAGTGGTTAGGACTACACGTTCCCATTGCAGGGGGCACAGTTCAATCCCTGATCGGGGAGCTAAGGTCACGCAAGCCACGACACGGCATGGCCGAAAAAAAAAGGTTCTCAATATTGGCAAAAAATAAACAAACAAAAAAACCTACCTGGAAACAGCCTGAATATCTCACAATAAGAGATTAATTAAATAACACTACCTCTGGATGGTGGGCAAATTATGAAGACATTATGATGGGAGAAATGCTTATACTATAATGCTAAATAAAAGGATGCTATAAATTGTATATCTACACTATGCTCTTTTTTTTTTAAGGGAACTTTATTATTATTTTTTAATTTATTTTTGGCTGCGTTGGGTCTTCGTTGCTGCGCGTGGGCTTTCTCTAGTTGTGGCGAGCAGGGGCTACTCTTTGCTGTGGTGCGCGGGCTTCTCATTGAGGTGGCTTCTCTTGTTGTGGAGCATGGGGCTCTAGGTGCACGGGCTCAGTAGTTGTGGCTCGTGGGCTCCAGAGAGCAGGCTCGGTAGTTGTGGCGCACGGGCTTAGTTGCTCCACAGCATGTGGGATCTTCCCGGACCAGGGGTCGAACCCGTGTCCCCTGTGTTGGCAGGTGGATTCTTAACCACTGCACCACCAGGGAAGCCCTATGAGCAATCTTTATTTCCTTTTCTACATATTTTTTTAATATATATTTTTTCTGTTTTCCAATTTTTCTGCAATGAGCATATATTCCTTTACAATTGTAGAGTGAAGCTAATATAGGGCTTATCTTTTTATTTAAAACCTCTCATGTGGGACTTCCCTGGTGGTCCAGTAGGTAAGACTCTGCGCTCCCAATGCAGGGCGCCCGGGTTCAATCCCTGGTCAGGGAACTAGATCCTGCATGCGTGCCGCAACTAAGAAGCCCACGTGCCACAACTATGAGCCCGCATGCCACAACTAAGACCTGGCGCAGCCTAAATAAATAAATGAATAAAATATTTTTTTAAAAAACCCACATCTCTCATGAGTAGGATCATTTTAAGTATTTTATTGCAGAGAACAACCAAGAACAATTTTTTTCTCACATGCATGTATATTACCTATTCTAACTTCAAAAACAAACACTTAAAAGTAAGCATAACCTTTTCTGGGCTGAACACATCTTTAGAGACTGGAACACATCTTGTACACACTCATGGAAGCCGGGGTATGGAGACCTATCTCAGAGGAAAACTGGGCACCAGAGGAATCAGGGAACAAGTGAGAATCCCTCCTGATGGCAAATTCACTCAGTTAAAATTCCAGTATACACAGTGCTCTACAGAGGTATAGTCAGAACGACTCCAACTGGCTCGTTCAAACTGCACGATACTGGCCAAGTGAACTATCTCTCTGGGCCTTGTACACTCCCCTCTGACATGAAGTTGGGGGGAGGCGACACCAATTTGGCAGGTACCTATTCTGATGAGGATTAAGTAAAGCAATGGAGGTAAGGAGCCGGCTGTTAGAATAGCCTGAATAAATAGCGGCTGTATTACAACGTCTGAACAATTTCCGAGTGATTATAAGTGAACAGCAAAGCCCTCTGTTTCATAGGAATCAAAACCGATACAGGATGGGGAAAGGACTCTTTCTGAGTCTTTTGCCTCTTTGTTCTTCTGCTTCTGCCCCCGTGCAACCAGTAACATGCTTACACACAGGGGCTCATGAAAATGCTCAAGTAAAAGGATGCTGGTGACAGATGTACTAAGTGAATAATTGGGAGTCTCACAACTTTTAGTAAAAACTGTATGACCCATAAGCACATAAACATCTGAATGAATAAGGAGGCTGCCTAAAATAACATTCAGGGGGTATTATGAGGACAAGACGGGTGGTACTTTTATCAGACAAAATACAGGTTCTTGATGAGTTTGCTTGGGGAATGCTACGGATTACTGAATGTTAAAAAAAAAAATCGTAAAGAAAAACGGGCCAGGCATTAGTGCCACTGTGAGCAGAGCACTGGAAGTGCTGGATCTGCCTTGTGACTTGGACATCTGGAAAATGGAAAAGGCATGGAACATTCCAGGTTGTCTGCAGAGGGGCTGGAGCCCGGCAGGCCTGCTACAAACTCTGCTACCCCCACTTACTGGCTGTGTGGCTTTGGGTATGTTATCAATCTCCTGGGACTGAGATGGCCTTGTTTGTAAAATAGAAAGCACTGTTTATCTAAAAGGCTGTTTGAAGAGGGGAACGTGGGACAATGACCAGGAAGTACCTAATTCAGTCCTTAACACAGAACAGGTGCCCAACGGATGTAATCCTCCTTCCCCTTCTTTACTGTGCACGTCATCTGACAGGAAACCGAACATCTCATGCGCATCTCTGCAGTGAACACGCACCCAAACTTAAAACTGCATGAAGGGAAAGACTTCTTTCTAGCTGACATGTACTGGTACCAAGAATTTATGGAACTGGACTGGAAACTAGGAATGTCATGGAAATGCTCTTTATTTAGGGAAGTGTCTCAGTAGCTATATTTCAGTGAATGTAAATCCACACACAGACTGTCACGGGTTCCCCAGTGGCCTTGGCCTCATTCATCCCATTTTCTCCCTGAGATCCTGTTTCTTGGGCATGGGGATTTGTAATACAGCCGCAGTGCAGAGAGACTACTGTATCCTTCACATTTGTGTCTTACCTCAAATATGCCCATAATTTTTCCTAAATTTACAATCCAGAGTGAAAATCCTCTTACCTAGTGTTTCATTACAAAGTATTACGGTTCACAGACAAAAAAATATATATATATTTAACTGAAAGTCGCTTCCACCAAAATGTAAGGGAAAAATTTACCTTGATTCAGAACATATACACAATAAGAGCTGAAAAACTCCATGCACGGGTTCGTGCCCCGGTCCGCGAGGATCCCACATGCCATGGAGCGGCTGGGCCCGTGAGCCATGGCCGCTGAGCCTGCGCGTCCGGAGCCTGTACTCCGCAACGGGAGACGCCGCAACAGTGAGAGGCCCACGTACCGCAAAAAAAAAAAAAAAAAAAAGAAACATCTATGGTACAAAAGATACAAACAATCCACATCCAAAAGCGCAACCCCAGCTGGCTGACTTCACCTCCTAGTCTCTCTCGACTCCATCCCCTTCAGCCCTCTCACTGCGCTGCTGCCCTCAGGACCTGCCCGTCTGGACCGCTGAAGCAGCCCCTAGTCCTTACTCTGCCCGGTTCATCCTCCCCATGGCTGTTGGTCCAACCTTCCTAAGACACAAAATGTCACTCCCCTTAGTCCTTCAAAGATACCCACGGCTTTTATGGTAAAGTCCAAACTCCTCAGCAGGGAATACTCCTAGCGTGGCATGTCCGTAGCCTGGCATTCACCCTTCCCAACCTCTTCAACTCCCGTGCTCCCACCCACACCCTGGGTACCATGTGCCCCGGCCGCCATTGCCTTCGCATGCAGGCTTCTCTCTGCCCAAATGCTCTTTGCTGCTTGTTCGCCTGGCTAGTGCCACAGACCCTTCCAGATGCAGCTCAAGTGCTGTCCTGCTGGTATGCTGACCTAACTTCTCCAGAGGACCAGTTGCTCCTCCTGTGGACTCTCTCTACAGACTGCCCACAGGTGTTCTACTTTTTGTTTGCAGAGCCCTCTCCCCCATTACACTGTCAACTTCTTGAGGGCAAGGACTGCGTGCCATCAGCGTTCGTCTCTAGCACCCAGAGCGATGCCCGGCACACAGTAAGTGCTCAAGCAATACCTGAGAAATGACTGAAAGAATGAGTAAGGCAGCCCATGCACCCCAGGAGTTGCTGTGATACTCAACGAATGGGGGTGGGGATGGGGGAGGGAAATCCATTCTCTCTGTTTTCTTTCCATTTTCCCTTCTGAAGTTTCCAAAGCACTTGACAACTGATCCCTAAAAGATTGCTTCCATGCCGTCTCAGAATTTCCCCCATTTTGAGGGTTATATAATGGAACTCTGATGTAATCTTAAAGGAATCTTGTTATATAATTGGGTCTCACTTGCTGCAGCTCACTTTGGGAGGGTAGCAGGGGCTGGGCAGGAGGACAGGGGAGGAAGACCCTGCAGTGTCCGGGTTGGCCCAGTCCTTTCCACCCACCCCTCCCCACCTCACTGAGGAGCTTCCAGGATTCCACTGCTTGGTGGCTGCCCCGGAAGACACCTCCCTCTGGTCCCAGCAGTCGTTAAGCAAAGCCTGCAGGACTCCAGGGAAGGGGGGAACTGCCTTGGACATCCTCCTCAAGCCCAGGAGCTGATATCACAGATCTTGTTCATTCAGCTCTGCTGGAGTGAAGGCTGTTGCCATACGAGACTGCTCACTTTTATTGTTTTTCTAGAACAGCGGGGATGTTATTACAAGTGTTCTGGAAGAGAGAAGAGGGAAGCCAAAAAGAAATTGCAGAGCATCTTAAAAATAGCCAGTAGTGTGCCAACTGCTTGACCACAAGGCAAAGATCCTGATGTGTCTGACGCAAGGGGCCTTTGTAAACACTGTTTGGCTACCGGTCCCACCTCTTAGCATCCTCCTCCGACAGTGCCCGGGGAATGGCAAAGGGGGAGGGAGGTACCTGAGAAGAAAGCAGCCCCTACCTAGGCTGGAAGGAGCCACAGTTCCAAAAGGAAAAAAAAAGGCAAGCTCTGGCCAGAAGCAAGCCTGGGAGATGCATTTCTGCTAAGGGATGTCTGTCTCCCTGCCTTTTAAGGCTGCTGCCAGCACAGCACTGTCACCCCCCAAATTGGAGGCAGTGAGACCAGCACCCAGAGGAGGCAGAGAGGGGAAGGGGGCGAGCAGGGAGCGCGCGGCGGGACGGCCGCGGGGGCTGGGGGACAGGGCAACAGGGCGGGGGCCCCGGAAGGACAGGGCGCGGCGTGCGGGCCGCCGGGGAGGGGGCTCCGGGGCAGGAACCGGCGCAGCTGCCCCACCGGCTCCGCGGGCTCCGACACTCACCGGGCTCCCGGCGCCGGCTGCGGGTCGGGGCCGCGCCGGGCCCCGCGGGGCCAGCTCCCCGGGGCCCCAGGCCGCCGACTCGGCCAGCAGCTGGTCCAGCAGACGAAGCGTCTCGTCCCCGCCGTCGGGGGGCGCCGCGGGGCCGGGGCCGGCCGCCCCCTCCACCGCCTCCGCCGCCGCCGCCTCCCCGGCCTCCTCCCGGGCCGCCGCCGCCGC